AGTACGAACATGAAAAGTATGAACATGAAAAGTACGAACATGAAAAGAATAAACATGAAAAGTATAAACATGAAAAGTATGAACATGAAAAGTACGAACATGAAAAGTATAAACATGAAAAGTATAAACATGAAAAGTATAAACATGAAAAGTACGAACATGAAAAGAATAAACATGAAAAGTACGAACATGAAAAGTATGAACATGAAAAGTACGAACATGAAAAGTATAACCATGAAAAGTATGAACACAAAGTATGAACATAAAGTAGAACATAAAGTATGAACACAAAGTACGAACACAAAGTATGAACATAAAGTATGATCCTGTGCAGCATCAGTACTTAGTTGTTGCTCCTTGTGTCTGGATCACTGCATCAATGCGTCGTGTCATGGAGTGGATCAGTCTGTGTCTCTGCTCAGGTGTTCTGAGAGTCCAGGTTGTTCTGATCGTGGCCTTCAGCTCTTCTGAATTGTTGGCTCTGGTGTGTCACATCTTCCTCTTCACAATAACTCATAGATTTTCTATGGGGTTTAGTTCAGGAGAGTTTGCTGGCCAATTAAGAACAGGGATACCATGGTCCTTAAACCAGGTGCTGGTATCTTCGGCACTGTGTGCAGGTGACAAGTCCTGTTGGAAAATTAAATCTTCATCTCCATAAAGTTGTTCAGCAGCAGGAAACATGAAGTCTCTAAAACTTCCTGGTAGATGCTGTGTTGACCTTGAACCTCAGAAAACACAGTGGACCAACACCAGCAGATGACATGGCCCCAAACCATCACTGACTGTGGAAACTTGACACTGGACCTCAAGCAACATGGATTCTGTGTCTCTCCTCTCTTCCTCCAGACTCTGGGACCTTGATTTACAAAGGAAATGCACAATATACTTTCATCAGAGAACAGAACTTTGGACCACTCAGCATCAGTCCCAGGGGAGACTCTTCTGACACTGTCTCTTGTTCAAGAGTGGCTTGACACAAAGAATGTGACAGCTGAAACCCATGTCTTGCATACGTCTGAGCATGGTGGTTCTTGAAGCACTGACTCCAGCTGCAGTCCACTCTTTGTGAATCTCCCCCACATTTTGGAATGGGTTTTGCTTCACCATCCTCTCCAGGGTGCAGTTATCCTTATTGCTTGTACACTTTTTTCTACCACATCGTTTCCTTCCCTTCGTCTCTGTTAATGTGCTTGGACACAGCGCTCTGTGAACAGCCAGCCTCTTTAGCAATGACCTTTTGTCTTGTCCTCCTTGTGCAGGTGTCAATGATCGTCTTTTGGACAACTGTCAAGTCAGCAGTATTAACCATGATTGTGTAACATACAGAACTAGACTGAGACCATTTAAAGGACTTTGCAGCTGTTTTGAGTTAATCAGCTTATCAGAGTGTGGCACCAGGCGTCTTCAATACTGAACCTTTTCACAATATTCTAATTTTCTGAGACACTGAATTTTAGTTGTCAGTTATAATCATCAACATTAAAAGAAAGAAACATTTGAAATATATCAGTCTGTGTGTAATGAATGAATATACAAGTTTCACTTTTTGAATGGAATTACTGAAATAAATCAACTTTTTCAAGATATTTTAATTTTATGACCAGCACCTGTAGATCACACCTCACAATCAGGCCTCTGTCTGAACCAGAACTCTTTAGTTTCTGTGAGTCAGAAAGTGCAAGAAATGACATCAAATGTAGTTTGATGACCCATAACCAAAACGTGGCTGGTTAGAGAACACAAATATAAACTGTGACTAAACGGTGATAAAAATATTGCATCTCACTCAGGAATGTTGCAGTGTAGTTGTGCGTGAACTGGTGAGGTTTGCGCACTGGTCAAGAGATGGCTGTTTGACTGTTTCACAATAATTTTCAAAGCCAGAAATACAGTATATATTATACTGTATTATAAATTAAATCAAGAGGTTCTCCAAGTCCACAGAAAATAATGCTGAAGCACAAAGGACTTAATTATTACAGTCCTGTTGTCCATTTGTTCATGTGATTGCTGATGTTTATGTACGACCATACATAAACATGTAAGTGTATCTATAAGTAAAAGTGAAGTGTTTATAAAGAGTGTATTCTATATTAAAATGGAGCTAAACGTTGTTGAAAGACACTGAACGGTCCGTGAACTCATCACCCAACACCCCGCTGGCAGCGCTGTCTAACGTCCCTCCGTGACCCAGTTTCAGCTGCTGGTTCTTCCTCTTCCGAGGGTTGCTCGTCTTAACTCCCGCTTCTGGAAAAGAAAACGTTGAACTGTTTTACTGATACTCGTTAGTTGTTTCCATAAATACTAGACCCCTCCTTACCTTTGAGTAAGGCTTCTTTGAGCGTGTTCAACACGTCAGCAGACGTCGGTCCTTGTTTTTTATAAATCGCAAACAATCCATTCAAAGCCTGCAGTTTGGACAGGGAGCTTGTTATGGGGGCAGCAGTGCTGCTCACACTTCCAGCCATGCTCGTTTCTCTCAGACTCTTTCTTCTTCGTCCACCAACAAAAGCGGGACTCCTGTTTTACTGCCCCCTGCTGGTTGGTTAAGGTATCTAGCTCTTCTTTATTTATTGATTCAGTCGCTATCAAACGGACAAACTCTGATAATGACTTAAAAATATATAAATATACATTATCTATTTGAACAATGAAGTCTAAATAGCTTTACTTTGCTGATAAATGTTAACTTAACTAATAAATGTTCTTAACTACATTGACCAGAATGCTTTGCGTCTAAAATTCTCTTCCTGGATTCTCAGTCGCCTGCCTGGTTTCCCGGTCAGTTTGTATGTTTATAACAACTAGTGCTGTTTTTTCTCTTCTTGTTGTTGTTTTGTTTACGTGTTGTTTCATCACGTGTTTGTCTGATAGCTTTGTTACTCTGTTAGCTGACACTTAGCCGTTAAATGAAATGACCACCGTGTTAAAAACATAACTGTTTTTTTGTAATCTGGTCACAACACTAGCTTTACGAATAAGTTGGCATATATTAAATCATTTGTGTAGTTTAACCTTTAGACGACATGTCTCTGAAATAACAACGTTATTATGTTCCATGCTAGTTTTTTAGATGCTGTTGATGAATTAAGTGTTGATTCTTTGGGGACAGACTCCGGTGAGGACGATTGGAGCTCGGCTCATTTTTATGGGTTATATTTTAACAATATTTACTCGTGACCTACACCATCATAAAAAACAACGTGTTTTAAATGGATAGTTCTGAACTACTGGAATGGGTTTCTGTAGAAATGTTATGAACAGTCAACATCTTACCTGTTGTAGATAGCTCTTTGAACACCCTCAGTTTGTAGAGTCCAACAGAGCGGATGAACTTTGTTAGGACCAAAGTGGTGTACTGCCATCTTCAAACAACTAAAATAAAATAAAAATGTTTGAGAAGTTAACACACTTTTTAACCACTGAGCCAACATTTAAATACGTTGGCCACTAATGATGGCCACTGAGCCATATTTACATCCCAGCAAGCAGCCTTGACATTCACCAAACAACCTTTTCTGCAGCTGAAACTGCGAGAGACTGCATGTTTGCTGTCCTTGGTGACATTTTGGTAGAGAAACGTTTCCCAAATCATTGTCTGTGGTCGCCTCAGCACGCTGCATATATGGTCCCATTGAAGCTAAATAGTCCTGGTTCACATCAACAACATTTGACATCAAGTGGAATCCACGACATCATGATTCCTCTTTCTGAAAGGGCTCCAGGCTGCACAGGAAGTGCAACAACTTTTCTTTTTTTATTACAAAACTTTATAAATTTTACAAACTGTCTGCCAGGGGTATATTAGCAGGTACAAAAGTATAGAAAGAACAATTTGGTTATAAAATGGTACAAAGGGTGTCAAGTTTCTCTGCAGTTACTGTGAGGTGTCCACTTGACAGACTGGGACCAGACTTCCTTTTTCACTCAGCATTCCTTTTTTAATTTCACCAGTTGCACAGATAATACAGTTGATTTGGTAAACGGTGGTTACAACTAATCAGGTGGTCAGTTTATCAGGTGAAAAACCAACAAAAAACAAATAAATTAGTCTAAATACATTGCTACAATTTTTTATAACAAACGCTCATATAAATATTTAATAATTACTTGAATAGACTTATATTTTATGTAGAACAATTTATATAGATCAAACATTTCCACATTCAGTGATTACTCAAATAAATTTTGTCTTCCTCTACTCAAAGCAAACAGATCCAAAAAGCACCTCTAAAACTCCAATTAATGAGCTTACCGATAGTCCTTTAAGTTTAAAGTCCCCTTTCCTCACAGGTTTCAAGTCTCTGTCTCTGCTGCCACACGCCCTGCTCGCTGTGCTTTTTTTTTCTCTCTCTCAACCGAGCAGCTGGTTTGCTGTTGTTTTTCTAGTGCCAGTGCGAGCCGTCAGCTGATTTGATTAAGCGCACCTGCTCAGCGCTCACAGTCGCGCTGCCGTGTAGAGCGTGTGAAGAGCGCGTGCACAGTATGTGCAGCGTGCACGGTGTGGGCGGCGCCAGGTTGCCGTGACACCTCCCACTCGATCTTTATGTGGTGATACACAGAATGGTCGTACCTTCTCAGGCGAGCTAGGCACTCTTGACTTGATCTTCGACTGGTACAAGAACAACAAGGCGCCGGACATCCCGATGCAGTATGGTATCTTGGCAAATTGACTTGGGATCTCTGGCGACAGGTTTTGGGGTCTTCATCGAAAAACTGGAACTTGGAGAGACTTTTACATGAACATCTCGGACAACATTTCCAGGATCTGGATTCACACGGATAACTTTTGCAAGCTTGAACTGCCCTCTTAGTGCATTTTGGTCACAGAGCCAAACTATGTCTCCAACGGCAACATTTCTTTCAGCAGTGTGCCACTTACTGCGAATAAACAGGTTTGGACCAGCGAGTTGGCTCCAGGACTTCCAGAAGTTGTTGACCATGTTTTGCACTTGTTGGAGTTGTTTGAATGGGTAAGTGGTGTAGTCAATACTTTTGAAGTCACCATTTTGTGTGGCTCGACCAAGTAACAGAGTGTTTGGTGTGATGTACTGGATCCTCTCTTCTGCGCTCTGAATTCTGGCATCGATGGGTCTTTCGTTAACAAGATTGGCAGCTAGATGGAGTACTGTGAGAAATTCACTAAAGGTAAGGCCCCCTACATTACCAAGACTTTGGAGTGCTTTTTTGGTGATTCTGACAGCAGCTTCGGCAGCTCCATTACGGTGAGGCGAGTCAGCTGGCAGGATTTTTCCATGTCCAGTTAGTTTCATGTTTGGCAGCATATTCTCCAATTGACTCTTGATTTTGTTCTTTCAAGTAAATGTACATCTCTTTTAATACAGGTTTTGCTCCAACGAAGTTGGTACCAGGATCAGACCAGATTTTTTGGGGATGGCCTCGGACTGCGGTGAACCTCTGGTAAGCAAGCAGGAAGCTTTCTGTAGATAATGTGTTTGCCAGCTCGACATGAATGGCTCGACTGGACATGCAACAAAACACAACACCCCAGACTTTCATTGTCACCCTCTTTCTGACATCATCCTTCACATGGTAAGGTCCAAACAAGTCGACAGATGTGAATTCAAACGGTGCAGCAGGAGTTGACCTCTCTTCAGGCAAGTTTCCCATTATTTGCTTGCAGGTTCTTGCTTTTGCTTTCTTGCAGGTGATACACTTGTCCACAACCTTTCGGGCAATAACTATTCCCCTGATGACCCACGCCTTCTTCCTCATCCGCAGAAGGGTTCCTGCCGCTCCATAATGTCCCTCGCTGTGTGCTTCTCTGGCTAGGAGGTTTGGAATGGTAAAAGAGGAACAGCTTTGCAGTCTTCGTTGAAGTTCTGGATTCGACTACCACAAACTAGAAGTCCACTTATCTGGTCTCTGTAGACGACTAATCTGCCTGTTGTGGTGTTAGGGAAGCTCACACCCTTTTGTGCTGCTAGACAGAGATCTCGGAACACATCTCGTCTTTTCATTGATTGAAAGGATCCCCGATGATGGTACTGCCTCCCACTTTTCTTGATCTGCGACCTTGACTCTCAGGAACTTTTTGGCTGCTCTCCAGATCCATGCCACGGTCCCAATCAGTCTTCTCAGGTTGCTGAAGCGTTTTTCATCAACTAGGCTTAAAATTACCTCTTCAGCAGGTGGTCTTCTGGGCACTTTATGGGCCGTATCTTGAGCTGCCTTCAAGTGACTTCTGGTCAGGATGGCTGCAAATGTCTTTTTCTGAATTTTTTCAACTTTATCTCGAGCTTGTGCAGCAACATCTTTGGCAGATCTTTTTGGCCACTTATCAGGAAGTTGGAGAAACTTTGGACCTAACTGCCATTCAGAGTCCTAAGTCAGGGCTTCAGGACTGGCCCCTCTGGTAATGATGTCTGCAATGTTCACCTGCCCAGGAATCCACCACCAGTCGTGGACATCACCAACACGATTTGCGAAGAATGTTTGGTAGCCATAGCTTTCTCGCTGGATTGCACCCAGTACAGTTTGACTGCCAACAAAATGGTACCACTTCTTGATTTTCATGTGACAGTGTCTCTGAAAGTAGTTTTTTAGGCGGGCAGCAAAAACAACTCCACATAATTCTGCTTTCACAGGATCACCTTTTTGATCGAGGGGGGTCAGCTTTGCTTTAGCCTCGACCAGTCTTACCACAATGCCACTTGTGCAGTTCCAACGAAGATACATCACTGCGTCATATGCCTTCTCACTTCCATCAGAAAATGTAATGGCAATGGGCTCTGTGCAGGGATCTGGTGGAGTTAGGGATCTGGTAAACTGGATTTGGCTCAGGTTAGCATACTCTTCTAGAAGGTTTATGGAGTTTTCTCGAAGTCCTTCAGACAAGGCAGTGTCCCAAGTGTCTTCTAAGCAGTACTTTATTTTAGCTTCTTGAAAAGCTCTCCTTACCAGGATGGCACCTTTTTGCTTGGCAGGAGTCACGAGGCCTAGTGGGTCATATAGGCTGGAGACTTGGCTCAGCAGTTCTCTTCTGGTGAGTGGATCAGGGTTTGGTTTCTGACTTCTTCTCTGAGCAGGTTTTGACCAATACGCATTTTCTTCTTTTTCTTTGAGAAGTTCACTGCAACCATGACATTGAGTTTGTAGTTGTCGATAGTGTAACCAAGGCCGAGAGCTTTGTTGTCATCTTCTGTCAGCTGGTTAGGCAGGATCATGGTGATGGGCTCTGTTTTGATTATTTTGGTTCCTCACTTTTGGAACCTTTCCTCCCAGTTTGACTGGAATAGACCCAAGGTTTCATGTAGAATTGTCCGGCTTTTAGGATGTACTCGATATTGGTTGTGAGACGTTTCAGATGCTCAAGGTCATTGTGTGAAGTCAGGATGTCATCGACATAAGTATCTTCCTCCAGCACACGCCTTTCTTCTTTAAAGTGCCTGAATGAAGGCAAATTTGCAGTCTCTCGCATGGCAACTTGGGCTATGCAACCAGCAGGTTTATCTCCAATGTTGACTCTGGTTATAGC